CGAAGGTCGAACTAAGATCTGAAATACTTTTAAACAGCAAAGTAGGTGAATAATAATCTACTGTAAAAGACATCAAAGTCCTCAACAGGAGTTTAGGTTGGCACACTGTCCTACTACATCTCTGCAGGGTTGATCCACGCTTCATGTTGACGACACCATATACGGACTTGACCATCCAGTTTTTGCTGCTGAAACCCACACTCATCAAACCAGTCTTTCTGGTCTAGATCTGGTGATCCTGAGTGAATTTTAGCCTCAGAGACATCCAGTGTAATCTGCTGCTGCTGGAGTCCGTCTGCTTTATGGGTGGGAATCAAAAATCAGTTCTTGTTGAGAACCAGTTCCCACTGTTTCAATTCCCTTACCAAGTCAGCATGAATGACATCACCATGCATGTGGTGTAGCTTACGCAAACTATGTTGAGTAGCTTTTTCATTTACTCAGCAGGAAACATGGTGCCTATGCAACACAAACCCTCGAAGGTTTGGTCATACTTTACAAGAGAGGATGACAAAAGGGAAACTTGCAATACTTGTAAAGTTAATATTTAATCAAAGAGAGGAATCATTGTGAATATACAAAAGCATTTGCACACAAAACATGTGCTAACAAAGTGGTTGTCGTGTTTTTGACCCACTACTGACTGGTAAATTTCAGCAGCAGTGGTGAAGTTTGCACATTTTCTCCTGTTAATACTGCATGTAACTAACCAGCTAACACTGCATGTTGGCATCGTTTACCCTATGTAGACACCTCCACACCTCCACACTAGCATATTCCAGCGACAGAAGTCCAATCTGTGGTGGGATTTTTCCCATCTTGCAAAAGCTACAGCAACACTACACCATACAAATGACTCTGCCTTCACAGGGAGCATAAAGAGAACATTTGGAAAGATATTTCCAAACAATTTCAGGTATAACTGCTTATTCATCATTAAGAAACTAACAGTTATAATGTAGGAGACATGTGTAATTAATGTTGTGCCACCTATTGAACTACTCAGGAATTAAAAAGGAATTGGATTGATAAGACAGAATCAACAATGGCATTGGTATTAATAAAAAGCTGTCAGTTCCCCCCTAATCTGCTTCAAGATTCAACTTGTTGTTCATGCACGATGCTTTGCACACTTTGGTTGGAACCAGTGAGGTTTATTTTAAAGCCAGTCTAACCATTCTCCTCTGTCATCCACACAACTTCTGCACATTGAATATTTTCACAATTTTAAACCATTCTCTCCAAACCCCACAGAACGATAAAATCCCAGAAGATCTGGAGGCTCTTAAATATTCAGGCATCAACAATCAAACTATGTTGAAAGTAACTTTAATTCACTTTCTTACTCCACTATTGAATTTATGTCATGTGATTGGCTGATTAGACAGGTGCAACAATGAGAGACTAAACAGGCAAGGGTACCTAATAAAGTGACCGGTGAGTGTGTTGTCTTCAAGAGAGCATTTATTTTAAATCCTCTACCATCCTGACTAAAACCAGCTTGTAAAATTTCTAAATGATCGAATAGATGTCACTGCCACATTACCTTTGTCATCTTAACACTGTTGGATGTGTTATGTGCTTTATTTTAAAACAGCTCTTATTTAGGAGAAAACCTAAAAGACAATGTTCATTCACACACCTCAGAATCCACCATAGAAATCCTCCAAAGTTGCAGGTTTTAGCTGACATCCTTCTCAGTGGGCCCAACCTAAATACTGTTGAAAATCAGTGGAGGGACATCAAAAGAGCAGAGCGTGCGGGGCAGCCAAAGACTCTAACAGAGAAGCCCTTTCATGGTGAATCGGTGAAAATCTTTCAAGCATGAACTGAAAGAATCTCAGCTTGTGACAAACAGCACTGACAGGTCGCGATACTCGTACAACCTTCTCCTTACTAATATTGTTTGGCATTTTGAAACCATAAACGATGGAAATAAAAACACAACCTTGTTTGAAGCAATAAGAAAATCCCTGTCATGTTAAATTTGAGGTCAAATCTCAGTATTTTACATATCACTGCAAAGGAATTTCTGTTTTTGATAAAACATTTCTTAAATCAGGCCAGAGCTTTGATATTTTCACTGTTTGGATAACAAGACTTTACAGATCATGATGCAATGATGCAGATGTGCTCTGCTTCAAAGAGATTTGCAGAAAATATATACATTTTTTGATTTAACTCAGCGACATGTGACTGCTGCAGAGCTTCTTTAGAGGAATGCCTTGAAGCTCCATAATTCTAACTAATAAGCAATAATTGTTAATATAAAACATAAAAAGTGCTTCATGTTAAAAAGAGTTTCCTGTAATATAAAACAGCAAGTGGTCATTTTAGGATGGCACTTTCCCACATTTGATGCTGTGGTTACATCAACACAGTATTGTAATATTGATAATCTTCCAAAGGCTCTTTGAAGTGATGATGTGGAAATCAAAGTGCTACCTCTACAAAACAGCAAGCATACTCTTCAGGCCTTCAGGAAGGCGATTTATTAAGGATTACAGCTTCACAGTTTTTGATTAATACTTAATATCACTCCTAAACTGGTTTTGGATGTTGATCTTACCTGTATCCACGTAATCTCATTATTCATATCCTAAATCCTCAATAAAAAATATCATTGCTGTTTCTGTGTTTTAGCATGAATCGATAACTTGATATGTGAAATACCAAATATAAACTGTTTAGTCTATTGTTTCATATTTAATACAATTTAAAACATTTTAAACCATTGATGGACAGACTTTACTTTGTTTAAACAGATAAGAGAGACATTTTATAAAAAAGGGAAATGAATTACAACAGTAGAAAACATGAAGAAAAGAATCTAATCCAGATTACATTTAAAAAACACCTTTGAGCATTTCCTCCTTTCTGTAAACTGAAAATCTCAGCACAGGTCATACAAACGTCCAAAACACAAAGATTAACCTCTGAAGGTCATTAACCAGAACGTTTTTTTATCCCATCCATCCTTTTTCATCCGCTTATCCGGAGTCGGGTCATGGGGGCAGCTGCCTAAGCCGAGAGGCCCAGACTTCCTTTTCCCCAGCCACTTGGGCCAGCTCCTCCGTGGAATCCTAAGGTGTTCCCTGGCCAGCTGAGAGACATGGTCCCTCCAGCGTGTCCTACGTCTTCCTTTAGGTCTCCTCCTGGTTGGACGTGCCCAGAAAACCACACCAGGGAGGCGTCCAGGAGGCATCCTAACCAGATGCCTGAGCCACTCAACTGGCTCCTCTCTATTTGGAGGAGAAGCGGCAGGGTTTCCCCTCCCCGACCCTACCGTGTCCGCTGACACGAACGGCGTAGCGAAACTAGAGCCCTCCATTAGCTGATACTGGTGAGAAACTGTAGCGGAACGTGTGCAACCACCCCCACCCCTGCTCTCACAGAGAAGTGCTGCGGGACAGAGAGCGCGACGCCCCCGCCCCGCTCTCACGGAGGAGCGCTGCGGGACAGAGCACACGACCACCCCCCTCCAGACGGCCGAAGCCACCAGGCTTAACTCATTTTATGGGGAAACCCTGAGCAGGTCTACTCTGAGCCCCTCCCGGATGACCGAGCTTCTCACCCTATTTCTAAGGGAGAGTCCAGCGCCCTGCGGAGAAAACTCATTTCAGCCGCTTGTATGCCGCTGTGATTTTGTTCTTTCGGTTACTATCAGGGTACGAATTACACAGAGGCTTCTGACAGAGCCCGTGCGACTGGGGGTGTGGGGTGTTGGGGTTGTATGGGGGAGTGTCGCTATCTTTCCTTGGCCCCCAAAATGCCTTACAATGGCCCTGTGTGTGGGACTGAGTTTTGGGTTAGAAGAAAGTTAATAATTTGTAGTGGGCCGAATCTACTTACATTTACATTTATCTGACTATTTTCTATCCTGTCCTGTCTCTGATCTTCCTGCATCTCTTCTCAATCCTACAGAAAATGCATCATATATTTTCACCCCATTAGTTACTTTTAAAATTAAGCAGATCAAAGGGAGCTACCGGCCACAAAAATTGTGTTGTGCACCTAGAACGACTGCACCAGTGAGGTGAAATCACCAGAGCAAGGGTGATGAGCACCGCACCACTGCATCTGGCACGAATAAAAGTTAGAAAGCACCAGAGGACATAAGTGGTTATGAATGATCACGTGTTAATTATATATTTTTTATATTCTTTGACAATGTCACCGTGGCAATGATGATCAGCGCTCTGCGTCCTCTCCGCTTCAAATAATCCTCAGAGAGTATATATAGGGGGCTTATGAGGACATATGAGGGCATATATGAAGGCTTCCAGGTGAGCCTGTTACCATTTTCGGTGAGCAGGGCTCCCCTTAGCTCCCCGTAATTTGAACGCTGGTCACTATCCAAAGCTCATGACCATAGGTGAGGGTAGGAACGTAGATTGAACGGTGAATTGAGAGCTTTGCCTTCCGGCTCAGCTCTCTCTTCACCACAACAGATCGTTACAACTCCCACATCACTGCAGACACAACACCAATCTGCCTGTCGATCTCACGCTCCATCTTTCCCTCACTCGTGAACAAGACCCCGAGATACTTAAACTCCTCCACTTGAGGCAGGATCTCATCCCTGACCTGGAGAAGGCATTCTGCCCTTTTCAGAATCAAGACCATGGCCTTGGATATAGAGGAGCTGATTCTCATCCCAGCTGTAAACCGTTCCAGCAAAAGCTGGAGATCATATTCTCATGAAGCCAACAGGACCACATCATCTGCAAAAAGCAGTGGCCCAGTCCTCAGGCCACGAAAACGAATCACCTCAACACTTTGGCTGCAGCTAGAATTGCTGTCCATAAAGGTTATGAACAGAATCGGTGACAAAGGGCAGCCTTGGTGGAGTCCAACTCTCACCGGGAACGAAACGACTTACTGCCGGCTATGCAGACCAAGCTCTGACACCGGTCATACAGAGACCTAACAGCCCGTAAGTTTATTTATTCTTTTTTTTTTTTTTTTTACAAATCTGAAATCATATTAAAACATCTTACCTCATCTTGGTAGATGAAGAAAAGCATGATGGACAGAATTTCCAGAAAGAAGATGATCAGGAGGAGGATGAAGAACTGTGGCGTGAAGAAAGAAAACAAGAATTTTAACAAACATACGATATGTTTTTAAAATAATATAAAAAATCCACAAAAGACATTAAGTAGTTGTCAGAGTGAAAACAAATAAAGAATAAACTAGTGTTCGAGGAAGTGGAGGAAAAAACTCCAGATCATTTCGCCTCAGTTTTTCTACCAAACAGGCCAAGAGAGCGAAGAGACGAAAAGTTGGGACTGTCAGCGCCAGCAGGACTCACTGACAGAATCGATTTACAGTTTTCCTCCAGCCATTTTTGAATTTCTAAAAAAGAGCCATGTTTTATTCCTCTCCAGTCCCTACTCCGTTCTCTTTAGTGGCAACGCTGGGCTGTGTGATGGGTGATACATCTTCTTCCTGTGGGCTCATTTGAGTGTTTAAAACAGTTACGAGCTCATCCATCAGCTCCCGTGCTGCTGCTGAGCTCTGAATCTCATGCACACACCATCTGAACAATGGCAGAGGGAAATATTTAAAAAAAAAAAAAAACGACAGTGCGACTGTTCAGAGGGTCATGCAAAATGAACTCTGTAGAAGAGTACGATTATCAGGCGAAGCCTGTAGATAAACCACACAGAAAGGCCCTGAGCTCAACAGATGGGGAACTTGCGGTTAGTTTTGTTAACACGCTCTTTTAAATGAAGGTTATGTCGAACACTTGACCGAGCTGTCATTTCAAAGACTGAAATATAGAATCGATTGCATACCTCTATGGAACAACAGGTGCTTATATTTTAGTTTGTGATGATTGGCACCACAAGTACACTAAACTAAGTAGTCCTTGGGTTCTGAATAAAAGTTATTTTCTAGGAGCCTCTGTGCAGATTCCTGGATGTTTAATTTTGTTGATTAGACAATAAAATTACACCTGAGACAGAAAAAAAATTAAGAAAATTGTGGCAAAGAGACAGAAGCCATTTTTCCTGTTTTTGTTTTATTTGAACAGTGTAGCACAAAATTCATTAAATGCATCTAAACGATGTCTAAGAAAATGAATAAATTCATGAAAGTGTGAGATTCTTGTTTAGACATGATTATGATCAAAACTCATGCAAGCATTAGTATTCGGCTCAGTCTAGAAAAAAAAGTTTTCCAAGACTTCTCCGTTCTTTGTTTTTGTAACGAGTAAACACTGAAACAGAGTTCACACCAACACATAAACAACTGCAGAAAAACATGTGTACAAATTGGGTTTTAAACTGAAACACTAAACTGTAAGCATGTTTCTGGTATGATGGTGATGTCTTAAAGTGGTCTCAACAGTGGAGAAACATAGTAGCGTGGGTGCTCAGACACTCGGCTGTAAATTAAAAGGATTTAAGGGATTATAACAATGGGTGGTAACAAATATCACAACAAATTAGAAATTCTAAACCTTTGCAATTTTTTCATGGAATGCACATCTTCAGTGCCTGAGTTTTTAACTGAGATTAGGTTTAGTTAGAAACACGGATGACAAATTTTTTCTGATTAGATTAAATCTTTTTAAACTGCTACTCAGTTTGCTAGGAATGACTCGCAGCAACTAACATTATTATTGCGGCTGAAAATCTGTGAAATGGATGGACATACGACATTTTTTGCATCTGCTAATGTCTAATGAAGTTAAGACTGAGATCCTCATCTGTGCCCCAGACAAGCTGGTTCCCAAAGTCAGAGACTCTCTTGGTCAGCTTGCTTCTCACATCAAACCTTCTGTCAGGAATCTTGGCGTGACCTGTGACCCAGCTCTCACCCTGGATTCTCATGTCAGTTCTCTTGTTCGCTCTTCCTTCTTCCATCTCAGGAACATTGCTAAGCTGAGTCCCATTCTGTCTCGCTCTGAACTTGAGACAGTTCTCCACACCTTCATCTCCTCACGCTTAGACTACCGTAACTCTCTTTTCACGTGTCTGAGCAGAACCTCCCTGAACCGTCTACAGGTGGTTCAGAATGCCTGTGCTTGGTCTTTAGGGCCTTACATGGACAAGCACCATCATACATTGGTGATCTTCTTAGTCCCTACACCCCCAGCAGGTCCCTGAGGTCCAGTGACCAAAGCCTACTGGTTGTGCAGCACCAGGCTAAAGACCAAAGGTGACAGATCATTTGCTGCTGTGGGCCCCAGACTCTGGAACTCTCTCCACCTGAGCCTGAGATCAGTGGGCTCAGTGGTCTCCTTTAAAAAGCAGCTGAAGACTCACTTGTTCAGGCTGGTTTTGGTGTGACCTTCATCATCACCCTGTCCTCATTCTCTCTTTCTCTGTCTCCGTGAAACACTGATTTTCCTCTTTCCTATTCATTTTCTCTCTTCCTTTCCTTACATTATTTATTTCATCACAATGAAAATTTTCTCATTTCAAACATAATTTTCGTAATTTTTGAAAGTATTTTTATACTTAAATTTTTTTATTTATGTAAAGCGCCTCATTATTTTTATCTTGTGAGGTGCTTGTGAGGTGCTATATAAAAGATCAAAAGAAAGAAAGAAAACTATTTTTTATAAAGCACCTCTCAAGATAAAAATCACGTGGCGCTTCACAAAAACAAAAAAAATCTGAATATAAAAAAGAATTTAAAGAGCAAGTCACCCCCTACCAGAGTCTAACTCCACTCCCACTTCATGTTTGAAAAATGCAACAAATGCCGTTGCCTGGCAGACCGAGAGGGCGGAGCTGCTAACAAACACACACACACACACACACACATGTTCACAACGGCATTTTGACATCATAATGTACCAGTTTACATCATAGCATACATCTTAGCCAATAGCGGTGGCAGATTTAAATTCAAATACAGTGCAGAGTTTTTACCTGACAACAGCACAACACTGACAGTTTTAGACAGAAAATTAAAATTTTAACTAAAATGCACTGAAATGCCAAATTATTGACAACACATGTCTGCAGCATGATTAGACACTCGTTTATTTAGTTTATCAGCAAAAAAAAGTTGATTTGGGGGTGACTTGCTCTTTAATAAATAATGAAAAATATGTTTAAAATGAGAAAAATAAATATAAATTGTGATTAAAAAATGTAAGGAAGGAGAGAGAGAAAATTAATAGGAAAGAGGGAAATCAGTTGATCCCGGCAAAGGCGGGATAAGAGCAGAATAAGGAGAGGGTAATGACAAAGGTCAAAGGGTCATGGCAAAGAACTCCCTACAGTTTAAATTCTTGATATTCCACACTTTTCATTTTGAAAAAGAAAGCCCCTCAGATGAGATGTGAAATGTCTTCAAGAAATTAAAGATGTTCAGTTTCCTTTGTTTGACTCCATGCCCTGGATAATTGAGAACTGTAGGAGCCAAGAGCTGTGCTTGTGTACGTGATGTTTTAATATCCTGTTTTAAGTCCAGTTTGCATCATTTCCAGTAAGACGAACATTTATCTGAATGTTGATCTGCAAGTCAAGAGCAGCAGATGGTTCCTGTTTTGTTGCATGATTTGCTGGGAAAGACTCCCCAAACAGTTTCCAATTCATGTGTATGTGAGACCCATTTCCTAAGCTATGCAGGAGTGACGTCAGTAAAACGTATAACTGGGGTCTCATTTTCGGTGTAAGTAGGCTTTTTCCTGAGATGCAGCAGGAGGCCCTCTGCGTCCGGGCTGAACACTGTCCCAAGTCACAGGTGTTGTATTACTGAACTGTACAAATAAAAATCCCCACGCTGTAAGGACAAAGTTGTCTCATTCTCTTGTGTTTTGATAAGGAAATGAACCACAGAACTTTAAAAAAATGACACAAACCACTTCATCTCATGACGGATAAATGACGTGTATCAAATAAAGACATGGAGGAGAGTAACTGCAAAGACCCAAAAATATTTTATTACAGTGACAAATAATTTTTTTAAGTAGCAGACGCAAATAAAGCTTAATGAAATCATTAGATTGATCCTTCACATTGAAGTTAAATGAGAGAGAGGGCATTTGTTGGAGCGAATTGTTTGGGTTGTTCTGCGGGGGCTGCAACCCTAACGACCCAGATTCTGGTAAACGGACAAAAGTGACAGATATGAGAAATGGCAGCAAGTTTTATGAATGTTGTGTAAAATGCTTTACATGATTCAAGTGGATTTCAGATGTCTGTAAAAGAACAGCTACTTTGTCACCATGCATTCATAACTGATGGAGAGGCGTGTAATCTCTAATGATCTAAAGGACATTGAGTTCCACTCCGAAGGTGTTCCCTTGCCAGTTTGGAGGTACAATCTCTCTATCATGTCTTGGGTCAACCTGGGAGCCTCCTATGAGGGCCATGTCCCAAAAACCTGCAGGTGTCCAGGAGATACTCTGACCCAATACCTAAACCACCTCAACCCATGTGGAGCGGCAGCTCTACTTCAAATTTCTTCCAAATGTTCAAACTCCCCATCTTGTCTCTAAAGCAGGGTCACAAAAATAATTTTCCAACACTTATATTTGAAATTGTGTCCTTTTGGTCATTAACCAAACTCATGACCTTCAAAAGATCTTTCATAAGTGCAAAAACCGTAGAGCTCATCCCCCAAAACTAAAATCTCCCATCTTCTTGTGTATAAATATTTTTATTCCTTAACATATAATGATTTTTAAATTCAACCAAAGAAATTCTAATTAATATTGTGTTTTTTCAAAAATATATCATATATTCCTTGTTTTGGAAACCAATACTGACTAACAAATGTTAAAACAGATTAGCAATTCATTTAAATGAAATATATTCATGATTTATTTTGCATTCAACAATGCTATCCTGTTGAAACTTAACTTTACATGTATGTCATGTGACATGTGGGAGTTAGAATGCAGGAGACAGTGACAGAGGGTCAGAGCAGATCTCGTTTACAGCTGTGTTTTGCTGGAGGTGTTTTAGTCGTCATGGCGTGCTTCCCTATGTGTATTCCACCCTGACAGAGGGTGTGAGTGTTACGCGTTCACAGAACTGGCATAGAGCAGGGCTGTCAGAGACCCCTCTGGTGCTTTTGGCTGCACCTGCATGAATGAATCACTTCA